AGGTCAGTCAGACGTATTGATCTCTCCCTGTTAACGTGTTTCATTTTCTGATATCTGATTGAAGAATCACCGGTGAGGAAATTAAAAACTGATTTGAGTTCTTTCTTTTCTCCACAGGATGACGAGGGTAAATTCAATTTTGACCAGAGTAAGGTGACCAACCCAGAGACTGGAGAGCCGGTGAGTTTGTGTGGACACGAATTTGTAACTCTGTGTTCAGTTAGCAAAAAATAAAGGCCAAAGTGATTGAAGGTGTGACTATATTTCTTCTTTTTTTTTTTTCAGGTGTCCAGTTGGTATCGTGGCAGCGAGACGTGGGACAGTAAATTCTCCACGATTGCTTCCTCTTATGAAGAATGCCGCGCTGAGTGTGTCGGACTCTATCTGTGCCTCAACAAGCAAGCGCTCGGGTACATTATGTTCATGTTAGACTCATTTCATGTCTCTGTACAGTAGTGATGGACTCTGAACCTGACCTGCTCACCGAAGGTTTTCTCTTCTGTCTCCTCCCTTACATGCTGTTTTATTTCCTCTTTAATTTTCCTGGACGTCAGAATCAAAATCCTCAGGACTATCTAAAGTAACCGTTTTATGGGCTGTCGCCATTTTCTGTGAACGGTGGATTTTGCCCTCATTTACCACACCTTCAAGTCCCCCTTAGCTCAGAATAAAAGCTCATGTCTCTTTCATAACACACAAGACAGCTCTGTTCATTAAAGCAGCTGCACTAAAATGTTTATTGCACCTAATGTGTAATCTCAGTTAAACTGGTAAAGATTGATATGGAGCTTAAGAAGCGTAGATCAAAGAATAATTGTCTTTATCACTCATTGGTCGTTCTGATGGAACAGAATTTCTATAATATTGGAGATTATGTTTATATTTCATAGTGAGCAGTTTTTAAAATATGCTGCGTATGGTCTGAACCTGTTTTACCATCATTCGAGTGACCGGTTTTAAATTTACTTTATTTGTCAAAGTAACTGAAATAAAGCCACTGAATGCTGTTGAGCCAAAATGTCTAATTTGAAAATCTACTTTAAACTCTACGTCTTCAAGTTAACATCACCCCTCTACTGCTTTCTTTTTTCTTTTTTTTTAAAAGATTAAATAATTCCAGTTACTAACTCTGATCAGCTGTTTACTATCTCGGGTTTAATCAACTCTGTTTGTTAAACCTGCTTTCTGAAGCAGGGCCCGGGTGGTGATTTGTGGCTGATGGCTGTGAAGCGTGTTAAACGTTGCCTTTGTTTGTTCCAGTATTTTTGGCCACGAGGGCCAGGATGCGGAGGACGTGGTGTACGTCAACTGGCTCAGCATGGTCCGAGCGGGACTGTTGGGCCTGGAGTTCTACACGCCTGAGAACAAGAGCTGGAGACAGGTAATCTGTCTGCTCAGCGAGTTGCTCTCCTCCATAACACGCTGCCTCTCTCACTCTTTACTTGGACTGATTTGAAACCTGTAATGATTGATCATAGCTTTATACATGCATTACTTTAATTAATATAGAACTTCAGAGATTCATAGTTTTTGGCGAACCGTGTTTACAAGACGAGTAACTTACAGACCGTTGAGCTCGTGGTTCTTACAAGCTGACTGGCTCAGTTTAAAGGGTCATGTTGTTTTCAGACTCTGTTTACACGGAGTCTGTCTCTGTTTAGATGAGTGTCAGGAGGTGTAAACTGTATGTTGTGTCGACAGGCCCACATGCAGGCGCGCTTCGTGATCCTGCGTGTTCTGCTGGAGGCCGGGGAGGGCCTGGTGGGCCTGGAAGAAGTGACGGGAAAGGACGGCAAGCCTGATGCTCGAATCACACTGGACAGAAGCAAGATCCACACCGTGGGCAAGATCGCCATCCACAGGTTCCTCTGTAAACTGCAGGTATGTTCTGTTTCATGGTGAGTTTTGACATCACAATTGCCCAGACAGCAGATTCTATAAGTACAACATATTGAAGAAAGTACAATACTGAAAAAATGTATCTTGGATGGATAAAATAAAATCCATATACTGTAGATGCATGTCAGTTTGATTGCACTAATGCACTACTGGTGTATTACATGTGCGTGCAAGAGACAAATGCATTTGGGGTGCATTAACAAAACTACTTTATAGCGCTGTTGGTGGTCAAAAGCTTCACATGGCATCATTTTGAGGGATAAATCAATTCCAAAAATCTGCAACAATTTCGATAGTCACATTGACTATTGGTTTTTATTTATTTTTTAAAGTAAATATTTGCTGCTTTATTTCAGAAGTTCAATATATTTGAGTGTAAGAATTAAGTAAACGTTCGGCTTCAGGAAATTGTAAAAATATTTCGGTGTTTTTTTTTTTATAGACTAAACAATGAATCAATAAATAATAATCTGCAAATTAATAAATAAAACAATTGGTTATTTAAAAATAAAGTAAAACATGAAATGAATGAATGAATGTACACATTATCACGGTTTACAAAAAGTACGTATGTAAAAATGTTAATGCCATTATTTATTTATTTCTCTGTATAATCATGTTGATTTTCCCAACATGTTGCTAACCGGATTCCACTGTTTTTGTAGGTCTTGAAGGCAACCGCTGATGTGGAAGGAGGCAGAGCGCTCTACGACTGCTACGCCACCGTCGGCGACAGCGGCGCTCACAACTTCTTGCGTCTCCGGGAGACGGTGCTGCTGAGGAAGGAAGCTCGTAAGATGTTTGTTCAGGCCAACACCAGAATCAGTGGTATGTAGCTGCATCTGTACCTGCTATGAACGTTTGTTAAGACGGATGCTTGTACACAAACTCATCTATTCTATTTCGTAAACAGAAGGGTAACGTGACTGTACCATTTTTAGATTGTGGTCATTGGGAACAACTGACACGTCTACCTTTTTATCATGTCATACGAACTCTAATTACACTGGTTTGTAAGCGCTGAAGTAGGTTTTTATTAGCACTGCTTTATCAAGACTTGATGACTAGCTTTATAACTGATCAAAATGGCATTATAGAACATTTTACTGTTCAACATTTGTAGTTGGACTGTCATCGAAGCGATTGTAGACATGTATTAGTCATTTATTCAGTTTGTGCCCTGCTGTGCGGTTTCCAGGGGACAGCGTGGAGCTGGTTGACTACGAAGGCAGCGCGGCAGGTTTGATCCGCTCCTTCACTGAGCGCTTCCAAGACGACGCAGAGCAGCTGGAGGCCGACCTGTTGAAGCTGTGCAAAAGAGACGCTCCCTGCTGGTGTTGATGGATCTGCTCCATAGGCTTCAGAAATACCAAAAGCAAATTGATTCTTAATGGATGTTCAAACACACTTCTGAAGAGACAAAATGTAAGTTCCATACTATACAGTAAAGCCATAACAACAAATCTGCCAAAGACACCAGCCACAGTTTTTCTGGACATGACTCAGATCTAATGTCAGGTGCTGTCTTTGTGACACAATCAACTACAAATAAATGATTTGCCACCATCAATTGTTTAAAAGTATTTAGGACGCATATTCTTCCAATGAGTGTTGAGAACTGTCCATTAAACCAATTCTGCCTGATGGTAACAATGGCTCCTCGGTATAAACGTGTATCTAAGTGAATAAAATGTTCGTTATGACAGGTTGTGTCTGTACTTGAGATGATGTGCATGAATTGGTTTTTAAAGCCAACCTTTGGCTAAAAAGAGTTCCATCTTTACAGCGTGTCCATTCGGTTAAATGTTTGTCCAGCCTTGGTGTTGATTAGTTGAAAGGTTAAGGTTGTTAACTCGCTGCGATGACTGCTTAATTTTGGCAGAATGAAGTCATGACTGTATAACATGTTGATGTCTGGAAGCGCTGTACGTACGGATGACCCGGTGAATCTGCACAAATTAAATTTGTTTGATAAGATCTTTGTGGGTGTGGTTTTTTTTTTTTTTTTTTTTTTTTTTTGCTCATTTTGTTATGAAATTCAGCCACAATCTGAGACTGACTTTCAATATATTTTAATTGATAACATTAGAAATCACCCCGATGCACATGCATAGTCATAAGTCTGTCTACAGAGGAGTTATTAAATCCAGTCAGAAATTGAACACAGGAGAAGGCACCTGTGGTGTCCTGTCAAAGGAAGACTTAACCACAATTTAAGTTTTCTTCCACAAGGAACCAGAATGTCTCG